TAAAATTTATATTTATTAAATAAAACTTTTCTATTAATAAAGTTTATGTGGAAAACAAATGGACATAGATCCCTGATCTCCTGGATCTTATATTCCAATTGGAGCGGACAGATACTAAGTAATATCTACAATATCAGGTAATGATAAATGCTGTTGAAAATGCTACAGAGACCATGTGGAACAAGGGTGGCAGAGGAACTGATTGAGATAGGGTGGCCAGAGGTGGACATTCTGAGGAGGCTTCCTATGTATATTAATGTTTCATATAAAAAGAAAATAGTTCAAAACTTAAAAAAATAGTGCTTCTCCTCCTTAAATAGTGCACAAATCTTCAACTTCTGCTTTAATCTCGCCAAAGTGAGTCAAGTTAGGGAAAAGATCAGGATACACAGGGTGAGAGAAATGCCATGCTGTTGAGGAGGACATTAACTAGGCCTATCTTGTTCATTTTGTGCAAGGAATGGTGTGTTGTGTTCAGTCCTCTCCAAGCTTTATACTTTATGCTTTGTGTATCTGTGTGGGTGCAAACTGTTGAAATCTTTACTTAGTATAGAGTTGATCTTACTTATATAAAGATAATTAAAAATGAAGCTTAATGAAGAATGAGATGGGAGAGGGAGCAGGAGGTGGGACGGTTTGGGGGTGGTTGGGCGGATGTGAGGGGAAGAACTGCAATATTCTAAAAGTTGTACCTATGGAACTTATATTTATCAAATAAAATCTTTCTAAAAAACCCAAAAAGAACAGGTACTGGCACCAGCATGCCTGCAGCATCCAACCTGTGATGACTCTTAGCTCTTCATACAGTCGTTATCATAAATTACGTAGGGAACAATCTATTCCAATTTTGCACTGAGCCAGGCAACTCCAGGGCAAGGAACTGGGGAGTCCTGAAGTCCTGCCCTGAGACTCCAGCCCTGGTGACTATTCAGTTACACATGGCCACAGACACTGCCACCTGTGCTTCTAGGTCCTGTCAAGGAATGGACCTCAACCCTGAGGAGTGCAGGCCACTCTAGAGTGTGCTGGAGTGTGTCCTCTCACTCTTCATGCACATGAATCCTTCTTTCCTGCTGATCTCTACCTATGTATTGTCTTCAAATTCATTCCTGTTAGAGATAAGAATCTGGACGCAACTACCACATAGAAAACACAGGAGCAAAGCTCCCTGACAATGGTCTTGGCAATGACTATTTTTTTTTTTGGCTATGACACCAAAAGCACAAGACACAAATGCAATATATAAAAGTGAGATAGCATCAAAATACAAAGATTGAGCACAACTGTAAAATATTATATAAATGCAACTGTGGAATTGTAAAAAATATTTGCAAACTATACAAATGGCAGCTATTAGATAACAGCATAGGAAAAAACAGTTGGTATTTCATCCAGAAGCAAATGCATAAATTTTAGCTTATATGTTACCTTTTCTCAAACTATGCAATCAACCAAGACTGCCAACAATTAAGCATAAAGGAAAACATGGAGAGAGAAAACCGTGATACACATTCCAATGTGCTGAATTGAGGAGGTAACACGGCCGATGTGGTAGTTAAGGGAAACATGAAACATGCCTGCTACGTCATAGCTTCTCTGATGGGCGCTCATATACTTGTAAATGTCTATGGACGTTATTCTCTTCAAATTCCTGGTAGAGTTAGAAACATACCAGGGGATTCGAATTCAATCCCATCGAGGTGGCATGTACCAATGCCATCTCACTAGTCCCAGTGATCAATTTCTGCTCACAATTGATCGTAATGATAGGACTAAAACCAAAGGGATCACATAAACAAGAATAGTGTCTGCAAATACTAGCTGATAGAATCAAAAAGGGAGAGAATGATCCAACATGGGAAGTGAGATACACAGCAGACCCATAGAATGGCATATGTCCAAACAGCACTCTGGCCTCATGATCAGCCCTTAAGGCATGCGGATCTGGCTGAAATGCCCATGAGAGTATTTCAGGCATGGAAAGCCAAGACACTCTGGGGAAAAAAAACTAAATGAAAGATCTCCACGAGTGAGATCCCAGTGGAAAGAATGGGTCATCAAAGAAGGAGGTACCTTTCTCTGAAGGGAGGAGAGAACTTCCACTTTGACCATGGCCTTGTCTAAATATGATCAGAGTCAGTGAACTCAGGGGGCTTCCATAGCCTTGGCAGCTCATGACAAGAGCCTAGGGTGATTACTGATGCTATAAACAAGAGTGTCAATTTGTTAAGTTAACAACAGGAATCATTGTGCACCTACTCCTCATGTAGGATCTTTGTCCTTAGTGTGCTGTACATTGCGATTTAATGCTATAACTAGTACTCAAACAGTATTTTTCACTTTATGTTTCTGTGTGGGAGCAAACTGTTGAAATCTTTACTTAATGTATGCTAAACTGATCTTCTGTATATAAAGAGAATGGAAAATGAATCTTGATGTGAATGGAAGGGGAGAGGGAGTGGATAAGGGGAGGGTTGCGGGTTGGAGGGACGTTATGGTAGGAAGCCATTGTAATCCATATTCTGTACTTTGGAAATTTATATTCATTAAATAAAAGTTAAAAAAAAATAAAAAAGAAGTGGTACAAAAAAAAAAAAGAAAGGAAAATACCGGCAAAGCATTTTTTACTATAAAATCCCTATGTTCTCTGTGATTCCAAGACTGTCTTGAGTGTCAGACAAACCCAGTGGCTTTTCATGTAAGCTCTGCTCCACTGTCTCTGAGAACCTTTCTCAGGAGCATCCTTCCAATTGCTCTACTCAGTACATAAATGATGCTGTGCTTTGGGGTCTGAAGTTAGGTGAAGAACTCACCCTGGAGTCAAAAGACAGCTATGTGAATCCAGGGAGACACAGGAGCTTCGCTTTAAGTCCCTTCCCTCCCATGTCAGACTCAGGATCTCCTTCTCCCTGCAGGTCAGATTCTGTCTGCTCTTGGGAGCTGAAAACAGGAAGAACCACTTTCAAAGACTTTCACAGCCTCTTGAGATTGTAACTACAGGGTGTAATTGTTTTCTTTAATTAGCAAGAGGCAAAGTTTTCACAAACATCTTTCATATCCAACTTTATTTTCGCTGCAGCTGCAAGGTGAAAAGATAATTGCAGCTCTGCAGGGAGGTGAGGTCACAGGCACACACCATTTCTAGTGCTCCAGCTGCTGACTGGGGTGACCTTCATGCCAAGGACTGTCCAGGCAGTGGAGAGAAATTGGGAATTTCTCTGTCAGTGAGAGAGAGTTTCCAGGCGAAGAGGCAATTGGGAGTCTGGGTGAGTGATCAGGTGAGAAATGGGATTGTCTTGTGTTTGCACCTGGTCCTGTGCCCCAGCCTCACAGGAAGCAGGAAGGATTCTGAGATGTGTGCAGAGCTAGGATAGGGACATACAGTCCTACATCCTACTCCACTCCTTGATGGCTCCTAAAGTATTTTGATGTCACCCACAGTGATATTGATTCTTGGAGTTTAATACAAAAAATCATGAAATCTGCTGATCAATGTATTTAGGGATCACAGTTCCAAATAAATCTGGTGTTCAGCCTACTATGGGAGTCACAGACCAAAATTCATAATTCCTAGAGGTGCACCTATAGAATTGAACATACCTGTGACTTAGTCAAGTCAAACCTATAGGATTCTTTCAATCCTGGGCTGACACAGTGGGCCTAAGTGCAAGTTGCTGGAAGAGAAGTGCTTTTTCTAACTCTGTTGTTGAACTGATCAATAGAGACTGATAATTCCTATGGAAAAATTCCCAAGTTCCCAGATTATACTAAGATTTTTTTTCCAAACCCTTTAATATTCACTTAAACAGCTTAGGCACAAGCAAATATAAACTCCAATTTTAACATAACAAGAAGATTTGTTTTTATCTTCTTGTAAGCGCAGACTTTTTAAGAAAAAGAAGAGCTTTGCTGTAGCAGTGAGCTTCACATGGCAACTTTCAGGTTCAATTACACCTATTGACTTTTGCTCTGGACTGAAAATCTTTTCTTCTCCACTGCCAGCTCTACAATTACAAGTGATAAAATACACAAGATTTAGTACTAGAGTTTGCATGTTATATACATGGCTTATACTTCAATACCTTTCAAAAATTTTGACTTATGGAAATACCTTTATTTACTATTTAATCAACAGTGCATTGCATGAAAAAGTAATATTTAGTTTCTACCTTACTTAATTTCACCACAGATTGGTTTTAATCTCTCATGGTATAGGGCACAACATATTTTCAATAGTTGAGTGTCTTTTTTCCTGGTACTTATGCCAAATAATGTTTCAATTGCTCAAATATATACAACCATTTTTGAATTAAGTAAGTAGATTTTTTCTCCAGGAGAAACCTCCTAGAAAATTATACTACAATCAGGTTCCCTGCATCTTAATAAGATACTTGAATGTAAATCATTATAGATGTGGGCTTATCGAGTAAACTTTCATGCATAAATGTAAGCTAATACACAGAAAATGATGAAACAAATACAAGCAGTCTAAGATGAATTGATCAGGCATGAAAATAGCCAGGTGTACATGTGTGTCATTTGAAGAACACAGCTAAGTAGCTCTGTTAGAATAACAGTGTTGTTAATTTGAGTGCTTCCTAAAGCCCAGCCAGGTTCAATATTCCACTTTGAGCATAAAATGAAGTTTAAATTTAGACAAATCACTAAGGTGAAGCTGCCTGTGTGAACATTTTATTTCCAACGAAATGAATCCTGCTACCTTCTCATGGAGTTATGAAGAATACAGGAATCAGCGCATGTGTCTTTTCATGCCTGTAATTAGCATGCTGTACATAGCCTTAAAGATCATATATCCACGTCTTTGGAAACATGTTCAAAAATATTAATCAGTTATGACTAGGTGTGAGCCGATGCAAATGGAGATTATGTGAACAGAGAAAACTGAATTTCTGTTGATATTAATACATGGAGCTCATGCCCCATCTCCCATACAGGAATCTCAGGCTCTGAGACAATAATCAGACATTGGAGGTGATGGGATGGCTGCTGGAGATCTGACAATGGGGATGATCTTCTTATCACAAACTATTACAGGAATCCTGGGGAACTTCTCTCTTCTTTCCCATTATCTCTATCTCTACCTCACAGGATGCAAGTTTAGGTCCACAGATTTGGTCATCAAACACCTGAGTGTAGCCAACTGCTTAGTCATTCTCTCTAGAGGAGTTCCCCAAACCATGGCAGCTTTGGGGATGAAGCATTTCTCAGTGATATTGGGTGCAAGCTTGTGTTCTATGTGCACAGAGTGAGCAGGGATGTGTCCACCGGCACCACCTGCCTCTTGAGTATCTCCCAGACCATCACCATCAGTCCCAGGAACTCCAGGTGGGCAGTGCTTAAACTAAAAGCTCACAAGTACATAAGCCGCTTCAATATCTCCTGCTGGATGCTGTACATAATACTAAATGTCATAGTGCCTGTGTATATGACTGGCAAAAGGAAAGACAATAATATCACAAAGAAAGTTGATCATGGATACTGTTATGCTATGAACTCTGGAAAACACATAACATCATTCCATGCAGCCCTGGTATTTTTTCAAAATGTTTTCTTCATAGGTCTCATGCTGTGGTCCAGTAGCTTCATGGTTTTCACCCTGCACAGCCACAGGAAGCAGGTCCAATATATCCATGGCACCAACGTCTCCTCTAGGTCCTCCCCAGAGTCCAGAGCCACCCAGAGCATCCTCGTCCTAGTAAGCACCTTTGTGTCTTTGAGCATTCTCTCCTTCAGTTTTCACATTTGCTTGACTGTTTTCAAGAATCCCAGTTTGTGGCTGGTGAGCATCTACGTACTGTTTGCTGGGGGTTTCCCAGCTGTGAGCCCCTACATTCTCATGAGCCATGACTCCAGAGTACCCAGGCTCTGCTGTGCCTGCACCAGAAACAGCAAGCGCCCTACTTAGTAGGAGAATGTAACTGTATGCATATTCACAGCGGGTAGTTCTTTAACACTTATAAAAATTCATTTATTTTCTTGAGAAATAGAGACGGAGCTTGTCATAGTATGATTCACCTCCCTAATGTGTATCACTGCCCTGGGTGTGGTCAAAGATGGGATCCAGGAGCTCAATTTGTGGAGATATCACCACTGCCACCCCAGGTCAGTGTCAGCAGAAGCTGTAGGTGGGGTCAGAGCTGGGCGTCAAACCCAGGCCCCCTGCTACTGGAGAAGGTCATGGGATCTGCATGCTAACTGCTGGGCCTAACACCTGGCTCCACATTTGATTTCTGGACTCCTTAATCCCTCTCAACTTTAAGTGTGTTTCTTCAAACAGTCCCTGTTCTACAGTGTGCTGGACCAACAGCTGGAATTTCTGGTCTAAAATAAGCAGTGAATGGATTCATAATTATAAATGAGTTACTATGTAGTTCTCACATCAATTCCTGAAATATGGACAATGACTAGTGTTTCAGCATCCAGAAATAAATGTAGAGATTATGAACAAGTCATATTGTCACTTGCATCAGACATAATGAATTCATTCAGAAATTAATAAGCTATGGGAATGTAAAATCAGCTTCACAAACAGGAGCAGCATTTCAGGTGGGCTTTGAAATACAGACAAGGAAAAAAGCTCCCCTGGAGCAATGAATAACATGGAATTTGGTGGAGGGAAACTCAGTTTCCCAGAGTGATGGCCTTAAAGACCTGCAGGAGTCCTGTGCACCACATCCTTAGGGGACAGAGTCCTTTGAACTCAGATGAAGGAACCCAGCTAGGTCAAACATTTTCACGTGCAAATGAGCAGTTTATCTGCGTGGGGCTCAGGGGAGCACAAAGCATGTTTTTCTGTTTTATAAGAAAGACCCCAAGGCTGTATCACTTATGAACAGAGAATGGTGTCCAGAATATCACAGTGTGACGTGGAGCTGTACAGAGGCAGCCTTTTGTTCTTGTAACTGAACTGGGGGTGTGGGGAAGAAACATGCTCCATGGTGCATTCCCCTGTTAGTGGGGGGGTTCCATTCACCTTGAAGCCTAGAAGAGTGTGCACTGAGCTCCTCCCCAGCTCCCTTGCTCTTTCTCCACATGCTTATTTCCATGTGTATGGAGATACGTACTTGTGTTTCTGTTTTATATGCATACATATGTAGAGATACAATATTAAATGACACTTCTATTCTAAAAACAAATAATGTTGGAAAGTTGTACAAAAATCCAAGGCAGTGGTAATAAAATAACACAAACTCTGTCACAGTCTGCTTTAGTCTGAAGTGTGTGTCCTCATGTCACCACAGGTCACAAGCCACAGCTGTGAATCCAACAACAGCTACAGGCCTCCTGATGGGTGGGCATGGCTGACACTCCCTGTCCCTCAGCTGTAGGATGCAGCCCAGCAGGGAGATTTCTAGTCCTGGCTCATGCATTCCCAGGAGATAAGACCACCCCAGCACGATTCTACTCTCACAACCTAAAGCAAAGCTTCCCCTTGGAGCACAGCTCCAACACCCTTTAGAACAGAAACACCCAGTACCCCACGAAGCTGCACACAGCCATGAGGGAGGGGGAAAGAGTCTTCCAAATGTGAGGAAGCTCTCCAGATGGAGACCCTAACGGTCAGTGTCAGCTGGCCCTGACTGTATGTGGTACAGGCCACCTGCTTGCTCCCAGTTCCTGGCCTGTGGGGGCCAGCTACAATACCCTGCCTGTGCATCACTTAGTATCTGAGACTCATCTTGACACAGATCTCCCAGCAGGAAGGAAGTTGTCCTGGGGAAGCTGCTTAACTCAGAGCACCTGAAATCCAACCATTTGCAACACCAAGGTGCTTGTTCCACTGGTGAGACTCACATGGAGAATATTTGTTTCCTTTCTTCTATGAAGGTTATAGATTCTGTATATCTATTCAATAAGATCCAAGTGAATTCACTATGAAATGTTTGAATATTATCAGTAGCCTTTATGGTTAGTGTAAATACATATATATTTGTGCTGTCCCATTTTACAGTGTGTGACTACAGGCAAAATAATGTACTGTATGTATCTGCAAATAAAAAGGTAACAGAAAATATTTTTATTGTTTCCACCATACAGAAATGATAAATGTTTGAGGAGATAAATATGTTTATCTTGTTTTGAAGAATACACAGTGTATGTATTTATCAGAACAGCATGTGATACCAGTAAATATATATATAATTCTCTTTGTCAAATAAAAATAAAAAATGACTTAAAATCCTATGTGGGCATGTGTGTATGTGTATATATACATATATATATATATATATATATACATACATATATATATATGAATTCATCTTGTGTGTCCTCATTCTGTACTTCTCTTCTTACTCTAATTTGTTCTAGATCTCTAAATCTCTTTATTTACTTATTTTCCCAACATATGATATATTATCTGATTATAATTATTGGAATGATTTTCCTTTTTGTGTTTTAATCTTTATATTGTAGTGATACAAGCATACCTGAAACCTTTCTTGGAAAATGGAATAAAAGATGTTTCTTTTGATGCTGCAAATTTAAAATTCATGCCCAGAATTTTCTTGACATACATTTTCCTCAATTTTTCTGAAGCCCCTGTTGGCATGGATTTCACAATTCTAAGCTTGGTGGGAGGATCTTTATATATATCAGTTTGTTTAGACTTTTATTTAATAAATATAAATTTCCAAAGTACAACTTTTGGATTATAGCACTTTTTCCCCCCCATAACCCCCTCCCACCCCTCAACCATCCCATCTCACACTCCCTCTCCCATCCCATTACATCAAGATTCATTTAAAAATTTTTTTTAAAGGCAGAGTTAGAGAGAAAGAGAGAGAGAGAGAGAGAGAGAGGTCTTCCTTTTTGCATTTTTCACCCCCTAAGTGGCCGCTATGGGCAATGAATTGAGGCCAGCGTGTTGCACTGATCTGAAGCCAGGAGCCAGGTGCTTCCTCCTGGTCTCCCATACAGGTGCAGGGCCCAAGAAACTGGGCCATCCTCCACTTCCTTCCCGGGCCACTGCAGGGAGCTGGACTGGAAGAAGAGCAACTGGGACAGAATCCAGCACTCCAACCAGGACTAGAACCCGGGGTGCCAGCGCCGCAGGTGGAGGATTAGCCTATTGATTCATGGCACTGGCCCAAGATTCATTTTCAATTATCTTTATATACAGATGATCATTTTAGTATATATTAAGTAAAGATTTCAACACTATGCCCACACACAGAAACACAATGTATAAAGTACTGTTTGAGTACTAGTTATTGCCATAATTCTCATGGTACAACACATTAAGGACAGAGATTCTACATGGGGAGTAAGTGCACAGTGACTCCTGTTGTTGATTTAACAATAGGCACTCTTATTTATGATGTCAGTAATGACCTGAGGCTCTGGTCATGAGCTGCCATGGTTACGGAAGCCTCTTTGGTTCACCAACTCTGATCTTATTTAGACAAGGCCATATTCAAGTGTAAGTTCTCTCCTTCCTTCAGATAAAGGTATCTCCTTCTTTGATGGCTCATACTTTCTGCTGGCATCACACTCACTGAGATCTTTCATTTAGGTTACTTTTTTTTGCCACAGTGTCTTGATTTCCATGCCTGAAATACTCTCATGGGATTTTTAGCCAGATTCAAATGCCTTAAGGGCTGATCTGAGGCCAGTGTGCTCTTTAGGACATCTGCCATTCTATGAGTCTGCTGTGTCACCCGCTTCCTATGTTGGATTCTCTCCTTTTTAATTCTATCAGTTATTCTTAGCAGACACTAGTCTTGTTTATGTGATCTCTTTGCACTTAGTCCTATCTTTGTGATCAATTATGAACTGAAACTGATCACTTTGACTAGTGAGATGGCATTGGTACATGCCACTGTGATGGGATTGAATTGGATTCCCCTGGCACGTTTCTAGCTCTACCATTAGGGGAAGTCCAGTTGAGCATGTCTCAACTGTACCTCTGCACTCTCTCTTATTCCCACTCTTTTATTTAACGAATTCTTTTCAGTTTAATTTAAACACCCTAAGAATAATTGTGTGTTTAATTAAAGAGTTCAACTTATGAATTAAGTTGAACAAAAAAAAAAAGTAAAAGTAATAAAGTAGTAAGGTGTTCCATGATAGTCAGTACAAGTACAAGTCATTGTTTCTCATAGTGTAAATTTCACATCAACAGGTTTCCTTTTTGGGCTCTGTTAGTTGTCACAGATCAGGGAGAACATAAGATATTGTCCCCTTTGGGACTGGCTTAATTCACTCAGATGATATTTTCCAGATTCCTCTATTTTGTTATAATGACCAGATTTTATTTTTTTACTGCTCTAGTATTCAATAGAGTACATATCCCATAATTTTTTTTCTAGTCTTCTGTTGATGGGCATTTAGGTTGATTCCATGTCTTAGCTATTGTGAATTGAGCGCAATAAAACATTGAGGTGCAGACAGCTTTTTTATTTGCAAATTAATTTCCTTTGGGTAAATTCCAAGGACGTAGTATTGCTGGTTGTTATGGTAGGGTTTATTCAGGTTTTGAGGAATTTCCCAGACTGACTGCCATAGTGGCTTCACACCATTTGCATTCCCACCAACAGTGGGTTAGTGTCCCTTTCTCCCCACATCCTCGCCAGCATCTGTGTGTTGGCAGATTTCTGTATGTAACCCATTCTAACCGGGGTGTGGTGAAACCTCATGTGGTTTTGATTTGTATTTCCCTGATGGCCAGTGATCCTGAACATTTTTCATGTGTCTTGCTGGCCATTTGGATTTCCTTTGAAAAATGTCTATTGAGGTCCTTGGCCCATCTCTTAAGGGGTATGTTTATTTTGATGTGGAGTTTCTTGATTTCTTTGTAGATTCTGGTTATTAACCCTTTATCGGTTGCATAGTTTTCAAATATTTCTCCTATTCTGTCGGTTGTCTCTTCACTTTCCTGACTGTTTTTTGCAGTACAGAAACTTC